GTTCTTTTTCTTCTTTAAGAGCGAGTGAAACCCTACACACCAAACTCAGCAAAACAGGCCGTGGGATTAGTGCCTATAAGTCACCACTGGCATGGTCAGACCTACACAGAAGCCAGGAATGCAGCAACTGCATGACAAACTTGCCAGCTCTGCTTTGACAAGGGCTGCCTGGTACACACAGCAGGCTGCACCATGGTCTTGTGATGGTGGTGTTTTGCTGTGCCACCAGTTCTATAACTGAACTGCAGACACATCCTAAATCGCTATGCAAACCAGAGCCTCAGAAAGGGACACAAGTAAAACTGCAGTAAATAAAGCTGAATTCAATTAGACAGAGATAGTTTACCATACTCAATATCTGAGAGTAATTTTTACATATTTGTGTTCACCCTGAACTATCTGGTTTTGGCCAATAACCAAGACAACAAAGCATATCTCAGAATCACATAACAGTGTGGACCTATTTTAAAATGCATTCTAAAATGCTTTTTAAGTTACTTAAGAAAACAATCTGATTTGAACCCAGCTAGGTGTTTTACTTTCATACAGCTTATTCTGAAAATTAAAAGGATATGCTAAATTAAACACACTCTTAAATGAAAACAAGCAGCTAGCAAATACTTCCGCTTTTTTATATAAATTAGTTAAAACAAACCCACAAAAATAGAAAGGAACACATTACAACTTGTTGCTAATTAGCAACACAATACACTGAGATTGTGAGCATACACTGTGCATGTACAGTTCTGCACATCACTGCTTTCAAGAAAATTCTAGAGCTTCTTCTCTCAAATACAGGAAATGGCAAACACAACTTTTGAGTGGAAGACTGAAAGTTGTTTTCCACGCTAATTCTGACACAGCGTATTCTTACACTAAAAATAAAATTGACTCCATGTACAGAAACAGAAAATGCTGCATTATGTTGACGGCCTAATTATTTGACTTTTTTTTAGTTTTGAACTGTCTGGCTTCTTGCATTACAAAATACATTTACATCCACAATTACAGAGCTTCCACTGGCAGTAAAGGCCTTAACTTTCATTAACAAAACTAAACCAAAAATAACTTCAGATACTTTATTAAGACATGGAAAATTAACATTTCCTTAACTCCCTGTAAAACTCTCTATTCTAATTAAATAATTTTAACGCTAAGTTTACTATTGGAACAGACACAACTAATCAAACAGAATGTAGTTGACAACTTCTCTACATAGGATTTTTTTTTCTAGACTAATTCTTACTATGTCTTACATCCTATTTAGAGAAGCACAATTTAGTGATAAAACCATATGAGTAAATATGGAAAATTATCAGAAATATCCATTTGCATATTTCTTTTCCATTTTTTTTACAAAAAGTTGAAAGTTTCAAAAATGGCAACTGCTTGAATGTAAGTTTTATGTACATTTCTACTTACATCTTCAGCTTTTGAACCTTGATCCTGCAAAGATTTTTGTAGTTCTTCAACCTGGGACTGCACTTCGAGAAGTCTCTGATTTACTAATCTAGGAAAGAGATTATATTTTGTTTTTCAGAAAAAAACCAAACAACGGAAAGAGGAAGCCTGAGATTTTTTGTGTGCAGTCATTTCAGGTCACGTACACAGGAGATGCAATACTGTATTTTATTCCAGACAATTTACAACAGTAGTTAGAGCATACGGCAGTTCCAGAGATTACAGCCTGTAGTCATCCAGAACATTCTGATACTCTTCTAAGACAACATAAATACATGTATTAAAAAGTCATTTCTATATACTTTCTATATACATGAAACAGCAGTACCTAACAGTCAGTTTTACTGTGTGAGAGCTACTAGTTTACTGCTTTTACAGTCACAGAATCCTATAAACCTGCAGGTTGGAAGGGATCTCCAAAGATTGTCTAAATCCAATCTCCCCCTCAAAGCAGCTGTATTTACAGCAGATTGCTGGGAACCACAACCAGTAAAAGTTTGGACATCTTTAAGGGTGGAGGTCTGACAATATCTTTGGGCCCCTCTTCTAGAGCTTAGAAATGTCTTCTGGGAATGTTTTCCTCCTTGTATTTAGTCAGAATTTCCCCATACTCCATGGTCCATATTGTGTCTGTTGACATTTGTCCTTCCACTGTCGATCTCTGAGAAGAGTCTGGCTCTGTCTTCTTGACACCCATCAGGCAGAGGTAGACCACAGTATTACCTCCTATATGCCCCTTTTTCTTTAGCATGAACAAACCCAGTTCTCAGTCTTATCCCACGTATCACTTGCTGCAGCGTCCCTCACCTTAGTAGTATTCTGCTGCACTCCTGTGCACACATGTCTTTCCTGTACTATGTCCAGATGTGGTCTCATAAATACTGATGGATGAGACATGAAGGACTATTTTCCCAGACTGAATGCCTGCACCCTGCTGAGGACAGCCCAGGTCACAGCTGCAAGGTCCCCAGCTGACACATCCTCCTTTACTGCCCACTGGGAACCCAAGGCTTTTGCAGCAGCGCTCCCCAGCCTGTTGGTCCCAGCCAGCATTGCCAGGCTCCTCCCAGCCAGGGGCAGGGCTCCCATCAGCTCATTTCTCTGGACTGCTGAGCCCCTCTGAATAACAGCTCTCCCTTTCAGCAGATCAATCACTCCTCCCAATGTGGTACCATCCTCAAACTTGCTGAGAGCATAGTCTCTCCCATTAGTCAAGTTCTTAATAAAGGTGATGAACAGCATTGGTCCTGGTATTGAAGTCTGAGCAACCGGTTGCGCAAGCTGGATTTTCTACCACTGTTTCCAACGCTTTGGGCCCAATCAATTTTCCACTCACTTTACTGTCCACGTAGTCTATATCTAACCATTCTGAACATAAGGATACTATAGGAGATTGTGCAAAAGCCTTTGCTAAGGTAAGCACCGTCCACTGTTTCACTCCTTCACATAGGCAGTCATTTCATTGTCAAGGCAACCGGATTAGTTAGGTATGATTTACCCTGAATAAATTCATCTTAGCCTTTCCCAATTACTTTCTTGTCTCTAGTGTGGCTAGAAACTGATGACAGGGGAACTTGCTTTGTGAAATTTCCAGAAAATGTGCTGTGGCTGACCACTCTCTGTAGTCCTCCAGACTCTCTTTCTTGCCCTTGTTAAGAGGAGTGCAGTATTTACTTTTTCACAGGCTTCAGGAACCTTCCCCAATCAAAAGGGAACATCAGGGAAGATTAGATAGAGAGCATTCAAAGCTTAGATAGAGAGCAGCCCCACAACGGTATCAGCCAGCTACCTTAGCATGCTGACATACATGCTGTCTGGTCCCATGGACATTTGTATGCTGACTGACTTAATCTAGCAGGGTCAGCTAGAGCAGGTTGGCTAGGAACATGTCCTGCTGGGTTTTAAGTATCTCCAAGGATGGAGACAACCTCCCTGGGCAACCTATTCCGGTGTTCAGCAACCATCCCAGTACAAAAAAAAGTATATTCTTATATTTAGATGAAATTTAATGTGTTTTAATTTCTGCCCACTGCCTCTTGCCCCATTACTGGGCATCACTGAGAAGAGTCTAGCTCCATCTCCCTTAGACCCTCCCATCAGGTATTTATAAACATTGCTAAGATCCACCCTGAGCCTTCTCTTTTCCAGGCTACTAGTCTCTATCCCTCAGACTCTTCTTATATCAAAGATGCTGCAGTCCTGTAATCACATCCTTGTGGCCTTCCACTGGACTGACTCCAGTAAGGAGTACTAGACACGGTACAGTGAAAAGTATACATCATCATTAGAAAAGTCAGTTGAAAGAGAGAAAAAATCCTCTTACCTGTTTTCTGTCTCCAATTCATTCTTCCGTAAGTTTGCATCATCAAGAAGGCTCTGCAACAAGGCTATCTTTTCATTGTCAGAACCTTCTTGGTTCAACTTTAACATCTTGTTCTCATGCTGAAGGCGAATGAGTTTCTCCCTAAACACATAAAATATGCCAATCTCTATAAAGAGGAAAACATTTTACCACAGGAGATGCAAACATAACATAAAGACCATCTTTACCTGTTTAAAGGAGACAGCTGAAACAAAAATCATGTCTTCATAACACCCAAACACAAACCTGATCAAAGGAGTTATAATTGTAGAAAACACAACACAAGGAATTGCCTGAGTGCCCATATTAGAACTCAAGAGTACAGCTGGACAGATTTATAGGTAGAATGAGCAGAACACAAAGCTGGGTACCAAGTGTTAAGGGAGGTTGTAATCTCAGCTGTCGTGGAACTACTGCATGAACCTATGCAAGTCAGTTCTACCCTGTTGGTCTGTTTTCACATAATCATAGAACCATTTAGGTTGGAAAAGACCCTTAAAATTGAATCCAACCATTAACCTAACACTGACAAGTCCACCACTAAACCATGTCCCTAAGCACCACGTCTACACATCTTTTAAATACCTCCAGGGATGGTGACTCAACCACTTCCCTGAGCAGCCTGTTCCAGTGCTTGACAACGCTTTTGGTGAAGTGATTTTGCCCAATACCCAATCTAAACTTCCCCTGGCACAACTGGAGGCCATTTCGTCTCATCCTGTCACTTGCTACTTGACAAAAGAGACTGACACCCACCTCGCTACCTCCTTTCAGGTAGTTGTAGAGAGCGATAAGGTGTCCCTCAGCCTCTTTTTCTCCAGGCTAAATGACCCCAGTTCCCTCAGCCGCTCCTCAAAAGACTTGTTCTCCAGAACCCTCATCAGCTTTGCTGGCTCTTCTTTGGACATGCTCCAGGACCTCAATGTCCTTCTTGCAGTAAGTAGCCCAAAACTGAACACAGCATTCAAGATGCAGCCTCACCAATGCTGAGTTGTGCTGGTTTCAGCTGGGATAGAGTTACCTTTCTTCATAGAAGCTAGTAGGGGCTATGCTTTGGATTTGTGCCGAAAACAGTATCGATAACACAGGGATGTTTTTGTTATTGCTGAGCAGTGCTTACACAGGGTCAAGGCCTTTTCTGCTTCTCACACCACCTCACCAGCTGGTAGGCTGGGGGTGCACAAGAAGCTGGCAGGGGACACAGGCAGAACAACTGACCCCAGGTGACCAAAGGGATATTCTATACCATATGACATCATGCTCCGCATATACAGCTGGGGGAAGGAGGAAGCAGGGGACATTCAGAGTTATGGTACTTGTCTTCCCAAGTAACTGTTAGGCATGATGGAGCCTTGTTTTCCTGGAGATGGCTGAACACCTGCCTGCCCATGGGAAGCAGTGAATGAATTCCTTGTTTTGCTTTGCTTGCATGCGTGGATTTCACTTTACCTATTAAACTGTCCTTACCCCAACTCAGGAGTTTTCTTACTTTT